TCCTGAGAGTCAGAAAGAGCCAGGCTTGCCAGACCATCCTCATTGCCTTTTTATTTATTTATTTTTAATTTTTTCCAAAGACCCCTAAGTAGACTCAACATTGTCATTGCCTAAAAAGAAATGCTTACCCGGCTGGGCGCAGTGGTTCACACCTGTAATCCCAGCACTTTGGGAGGCCGAGGCGGGCGGATCACTTCAGGTCAGGAGTTCGAGACCAGCCTGGCCAATATGGTAAAATCCTGTCTCTACTAAAAATACAAAAATTAGCAGGGTGTGGTGGTGGGTGCCTGTAACCCTAGCTGCTTGGGAGGCTGAGGCAGGAGAATTGCTTGAACCTGGGAGGCAGAGGTTGCAGTGAGCCAAGATCGCACCATTGCACTCCAGCCTGGGCGACAGAGAAAAAAAAAAAAAAAAAAAAAAAAAAAAAGAAAAAAGACATGCTTACCTGCCCAAGCAGATAAAGGAAGTACTGCAGACCATATATAGGCGGGGTTTAGCAAGACGTTTTGAGAACATTCTGACAGCATTATAGGCAAGACAGAAATGTCCAGAGAACATCCAGGAGGGTGAGGACTATGGTGATGGGAAGGTTGGGTTGATTTATAACTGGTTGGATGGGCATACCCAAAGAGTAATGATGTCAGTCCATCAGCCTGTCTGCCTAGCCCTTTCCTGTTTACTTTTTAATCAAAGCCTGGGATGAGAACATCGATGACGAATTTATCAGTTTTGTCAGTGATCTGAAGTCAGGAAGGAATGCCAATATGAAGAATGCCAGAGTCAGGTTTCAGAAATACCCGAACTGCCGGAACACTAGCCAGATAGTGCAGAGTTCTTCTGCTCCTAACTCCATGTAATCAGCCGGACATACTAGTTGGGGGACATACTAGACAGGGGATGTACTAGATGGGGGAGAACGGGTCCCGGGGCAGCCCATGGGATAAAGCCCGAGGAAGATTTCGTTGACAGGAGTGCAGTGTGAGTTGGTAGTATGAGGAGGTTACAAATAATAGATAATTCGATGACAGTTTTAATAGAAATAAAATGTCCCAAACAAGAGAGATCATAGTCCCTCTGTGATCTGCACTGGTGAGGTCACATACTATGTTTACTGCCACACACGACACTTCACTTCTGGATGGGACACTCAAACTGACAGGTTAGAATGAGCCCAGGGGAGGTGACTTGAATGGATGGAGAATTTCAGAATCTTATCAAGAATCTAGTTAAAAGTTAGGGCCACAGATAGTAGAAAAAGAAACTTGGTGGGAAGTGAGAGCAGCCTCAGGGGTTGGAAAGGCTGTTATGGGAAGATGGATTCAGCTCACTCTGGGCAACTTGAAGAACAGTGGTTTGAGAATTGCAGGAAGGCGGTTTGTGCTCTGTAGAAGGAAGAGAGCCCTGGCATCACCTCCCTCCGTAGAGCAAAGGCTTCAGTGTTTTTTTGGACTATAGTTGGGCCTTTCCAGAGCACCAGTGGTTGACCAAAGCCTGCAGGGTCCTCTCAAGGAGTCAGGAGCACTTTCAAGCCCCATCTCAGAAGTACTCTCTCCCAAGCTCTGGGCAAGAACCTTTGTTTAGCAGAGAACTGGCCTGGCCAGAGGCAGTTGGATTCTGGGCCCAGGATAAAGGCAAACAAGTTTTCGTTAAGCCATTGACATTTTTACAGGAGGAGCAGATAGACTTTTAGAGGCAGCCAGCTAACGTCAACACATTAATACACTTGTCAGATGTATTATGAGCACCTACTACATCCCAGGCACTATTAGATGCCTCATCTGAGTCATCCCATTTAGTCATAATGACCTATTGTTATTTATTCTTGTTAAGAGGATACCAAAGCTCAGAGAGAAGTTAAGCCCAATGTCACATAAAACTGGAACCCAGAACTTAAGCTGTTAGCCACTCTGCCTCCTGGAGCACAGCCTTGGCCCTGTGCCTCTGGCAGTCACCAGCGGGTATGAGCTGTGCCTCCCTGTGAGCCCCTCTCCCTTCCAGCCCCCAAAGCCATGCCTTCCCCTCCACTGGGAACTCAGGGAGAAAACAGCCCAGCTGAAAAACTAGGCCATGCTGCCGAGCACACTACTCATTTTTTTATGACTATGATGAAGCTGACAACCATGCAAAACATTGCAAACCTGTGTCGGCTGCAGATTTAATACCTAACCCAGCCCACACAAATAATTCATGCTTCTGCATCAATGTCCAGAAGAAACAAATCAGCAAAAAGCTGGGTTCTTTTGTGTGTGTGTGTGTGTGTGTGTGTGTGTGCACGTGCGTGTGTCTGTGTATGTGTTGTGTGTAGCAGCCGCGTTTCCATCAAAGCAGCATGCCGGAAATACCCAAGCTCCAGGACTGCAGATCTAGCATTTTGCAATTTTTTTTTCTCTTAAAAGATTAAAGTATGGTTTCAAATGATGGAAGGTTGGTGGGAGGTGTAAATGTGGGCACTTGTCACATTAATTCTTCAGATGATTAAGTTCTTTTCCATTTCTTTAAAGCTGTTTGCAGTTGGGTTTGATGTCCTGGTTCTGGGTGAGTGTGTTGTGGCAGTTACCAAGGTGACTTTAGCTGACTTTCAACAATTTATTTTTCCCTCCAGCTTGAGACGTCTGTAGCCCTGTATGCTGTTGATTGTTTTCTGCAAGCCCCCACCCCACCTCCCATTGCTATTCATCAGCATTTTTGCCTGCACCATAGAGGCTGGGATCCCCTAGCAGGCCCCGCCTGGACAAGCTAGGCCTCAGCCCCTTTCAGGAGGACGGTAGTGTGTTTGGAGACAGGAACCGGTGGTAAGAGATGGCACAGGGGAGTGATTGTGAGAGTCACCCCCTGGTTCTTTTGCTTAAACTCACTCTGAGCCCTTTGGCTTGTCACCTCACCTCTGTGAGCCTCAGTTACCTCCACTGTGAAAGAAGGCTTGACAGCGCAGCCTACCTTGTGCTTGCTGGGAGGAATCAGCGAGTGAACCTATGGCCTTAGCAGAGGGTTGGCACAGAGTAAGGGCACAGGAAACATGGCTCAGGAAACACTGCTTCCTGAGTTCTGCTCTTGTTTGGGCCCTGAGGGCACCCTGTGTCTCCACTGAGTCCTCACCTGTTGCTGCTGCCTCCCTCTGAAGGAAGGGAGGTGCAGTGGCCCTGGTGGAAGGGAAAGAGAGTTGGTCGGAAGTCTGAAGCTTCGATCAGAAGTCTGACGCACAGTGAGCGGGGACGCGTCACCCGCTCTCTTTTGTAAAGGAAAGAGGTAGATTAAACAACCTCAGAGTTTCCTTCCAGTCCTGAATACTGTGACCCTCTTGGCCATAGCATTTGTCTCCTTCACAGATCTTGTGCAAGGGTGAAGCCAGGGGAAAAGGCAGTTTTAGAGCTGGCTTTAGGAAGGCAGAGGAAGGGACCGCTTTGTGAAGGAACAGTGAGATCCGGGGGTGAGTCCTCACAAAGACAAGGCCAGCAGGCAGGCACGGCCCGTGACCACAGGGGCATGTCTAACCCACTGCTGCCGCAGGGCCGTCCTCTGCCTTTTGCCTGTGGACCCTATACCTTCCCCTGGGGAGATGCCCCGCCTGTCAGGGTGCCACCCTGGCTGCAGGCCCCAGCACCTAGCCCCGCAGCGTGTAAGGAGGTTGGGCCTGCCTCTCAGTGGCTGTCCAGCTGTCATCCTGGGTGGCTTCTGCCTGCCACTTGAATGATAAATAACTGGAGCTTCTCACCCAGTTTTTGATGGACACTTGGGGAATTGTTCTGAGATTCACAGCCCAAACCAGGATCCGGCCTTTTGAATAGAATCAGTGGGTAACTCTTATTTCTGGCTGAGGCAGATTTGAGAGGTTGTCAGTGGGGGCAGCTGAATTTGAAAGAGCAAATCTTAGAATGCAAAGGGACCCTGTGACCCAGCCGTGGGCCTCACTGTTGGTGGGAAGCAAGCAGGAGGGAGTGTGAGGCAGCAGTGACAGCTCACCATGCCAAGGCCACAGTCAGGAGGAATCTGGTACAGGCTCCTGGGGCCTTAAAGCCCAGCAGGGCGGGAGCCTGGTTCTGCTTTCCAGCCAATCCCACTGGTCCGACTCCTAAGAGCCCAGCTTGTACTCAGCAGCACAGATTGTATCACCCTCTGGTTAGATGAAGGGTGTGAATGTCCCTGCAGCTCCTGGCTGTTGGCAGAATGTACATCCTCAGAGCCTTCAGGGTCAGCTGGACAGAAACTCTTGGAGCTGCGCATCTCATGGTGCTCAGAGTTAGGGCTCGGAGGCTCCAGGGCAGGAGAGGAAGGGCTCCCAGAAGCTCCTGCTAATCACAGGAAAAGACAAGGCACTGTGCCATATACTTTAATACAGAATGTTGGGGTTGGGCACAGTGGCTCAGGCCTGTAATCCCAGCACTTTGGGAGGCCAAGACGGGTGGATCACCGGAGGTCAGGAGTTCGAGACCAGCCTGGCCAACATGGTGAAATCCCATCTCCACTAAAAAGACAAAAATTAGCCGGGCATGGTGGCGGATGCCTATGATCCCAGCTAAGGCCGGGGAATTGCTTGAACCCAGGAGGCAGAGGTTGCAATGAGCCGAGATTGCACCGCTGCGCTGCAGCCTGGGTAACAGAGCAAGACACCATCTCAAAAAAAAAATAGAATGTTGGCCAAAGATGCAGGCTTTATAGAACCAGACCTACCTGAGACCGGATCTCAACTCTGCCCACTCCCTGGCTGTGCAACCTGTGCAAACTACTTAGCCTCCCTGATCCCCAGTCCCTCCTCTTTAAAAAAAAGAGAGAATGGTGGCAGCCATTTCTTGGGGGCATTGTGAGGAGCAGCCAGTCAGTGAGAAGTGCTTGATGCAGTGGCTGGTGCTCGCCAGGCATATACAGAATGGTGGCTGTCAGCATCATTATCATCAGTCACCATTATTGTCTTTATTACTCAGGAGCCCAGCTGGAGACTCCCATCTTGCTCCTCCCTGAGCTTTTCACCTTGTGCTGAACTTTTTCCTGTGCTTGCTTCACAGGAGCCGCAAAGACAGCCTGGAAAGTGACAGCTCCACAGCCATCATTCCCCATGAGTTGATTCGCACGCGGCAGCTCGAGAGCGTACATCTGAAATTCAACCAGGAGTCCGGAGCCCTCATTCCTCTCTGCCTAAGGTGAGCGAAGACAGCCCTGCCACACAGTTTACCCCACGGCACCCAGGTCAGCCTCCAGGGGGCACTTCAGAGCCTCCCCAGCCCCCTCCACCAGCAGGCGTCCTCCAGGGCCTCCAAGGAGCCACCAGGCCTGTCTCCCTGGTGAGGGTGAGGCACCTGTCAGCAGCCTACACACCTAAGCAGGCTGGGGCTCAGGGAGGGAGGAGAGCTACTCCACTTGGGGCCTGTTTAGGAGCCTGGGAACTGTGAACCAGCCAGTCGTCCCCATGTCACTGGGCCATGGGGTGTTCTCCTTGCCCAACCCTCTGGCTGGCCTAGGTGGTGAGAAGTCTGCCATCCTTCCTAGAGAAGGGCTCTCTTGTCTGCATCTCGTATCGAGCCCAGAGCAGCGCAGTCCCCAATGGGCCCAGCATTGTGGCCAGAGAGCCCCATTGGTCTCTGATTGCTTGCTTGACAGACCTTCCTCATTCGCAAGTTCTGGAGTCAGAATCCACAGGGAATAGGTGCTAAAGAACTCTCCTTTATCCAGAGAAGTGTTCCTCAGCCCTGTTCCCCTTAGGAAGACTCTGTGACCCAGGGAGTCTCAGGTGCCCCCAGCCACCCACAAGCCCAGGGCAGGGATGGCAGGGTCCCCAGTAGCACTGGTTTGTCAGGGCGGGGTTGGGTGGGTTGGGCTCTATTTTCTCCTGCTTGCTGCTTTTCTCATGCAAAACACTCAGTTCTAAAACCTAGTGGCCAGCCCAGCAAACTCCTTGAGGGACCAGGAAGCCCAGCTGTGTCCCTTCTGCTTCTGTCCACAGTGCCAAAAGCCCAGCCCAATGGCCAGAACTCAGCTCTGTGCTCAGGGCTGCTGCACGGCTGCATCTGCTACAGCTGGCTACCCCGCAGCCCTGGGGCTCCACCCACACTTTGAGCAGCAGAGGCACCAAGAGTAACTCTAAACTCACAGAACAGTGACAGGGAGGAAGATATGGCACAGTTGGGACCCTCCCCACTGTCCCCAGCACCTGGGAGTGAGTTTGAAGGGTAACCAGCCTTGGCCAGCCACCCTGGGCAGCGGACAGAGAGCAAGTGGCCAGAATGAACAGGACCTGGCGGGGTCTACCGCCATCCCACCACTACATCCTCCCTAGCCACTTCTCTGGCCAAGGCCCAGGGCCTTTCAACTGGTGAAGGGTTAATTGCAGGCAGCCTGAGAAGGCACAGGGCAGGTTCCACTTCCTTTGCTGATGGGCGGCTCTGCCCATTAGCTGCCCCTGCCTGCCACTCCCCCAGGTGTATTTCCAGACTAGGGATTAACAGTAACTTTTGTGGCTCCCTGAGTGACCCCACTTGGCTTCAACTTGCTTGCTTGCTTTTTTTTTGAAGATGTGCTGTGGCCTTTGGGCCAGCCACTTAAATGTTATGGGAAAGCCCAGGAGCAGGTGGAAGATTCTGCCCTGGACACTGAAGTGTCCCACTGTGGAGGCACTATCCCATCGTCCCAGGGAAACTTGTCTAGACACTACCTCACCTCCGTCCCCCAAGGAGGGATGTGACCCCCTCTTACCTCTGGGCGTGACCTCAGCAATTGCTACCTTCCCTCTCTGGCCTCAGTTTTCCTAAGGGAGACAAGCTTGAATCTCTGCAGGATCTCTGCAGGGCTTTTGAACTCAGTGTTTTCTGCTAGCTTTGAGCACTTTGGAAGGATAACCTTAGATAATTTGTGAGAGGGGCTTCTCTTTGAAGGTGCTGAAATGAGCGTATTTAGATACAGTCCCCTGTTGATGGACAGGTAGGGAGCCAGGAGAGCATGTACCTGGCCTGCAGACCATAGTCCCCACTGTCCCAGAGCTTTGGCCAGGCCTGCTGTGCTTGGAACTATTTCTAGGCCCAGCTCCTCACTGTCTCCATGTTCCCATTCCCAGGGGCAGGCTCCTGCATGGACGGCACTTTACATATAAAAGTATCACAGGTGACATGGCCATCACATTTGTCTCCACGGGAGTGGAAGGCGCCTTTGCCACCGAGGAACATCCTTACGCGGCTCATGGACCCTGGTTACAAGTGAGAAGGCCCTTTTTCTTCTCCCTCCTACCTTTCATAGACTCTTCCTTGCCCACCCCTCCTCTTCTCCCTTGGCAGCTCTTGGTGGCACTCCTTCCTGGGAGGCTGGTCATGAGCGCCTCTTGGATTCAGGGCCTGGGACCTGTGTGTAGATGTGGAGTATAGATGCTGCTACCCACTCCAGCAGCTCTAGGAGCACTTCCTGACCTTCTCCTCCGTCACCTGAGACACAAGTATTAACTTTCCAGGCCCTGGCTCTTGGTAATTCTGTTTCCCATGGAAATCCAGGTTGGAGGGATGTAAGACTTTCTGTACCCTGGGTAAACCAAGGTACAAGAACTCGAGGATGAAGCAAGATGGGAGGATGTGTGGAGGCCACTCTCCAATGGCTACATGGAAATCCCACCAGAATTCAGACAGTGGCATGTGTGCCTGGACCAGGGACTGGGCAGGCCTCAGTGGGAAGAGCCTCCCTTTCCCAGCCCACCCCTGATCTGACGGCCCTCCCATTCCTCCTGAGTTTGTGTGACCAGAGATCGGCTGGCTGGCCCAGAGCACTTTGTCCTTCCTTTGCTCTTCTGGCTGGAGCGAGCTTCAGAGCTGATGCCAAGCAGGGGTACTGGGGCCTCAGAGCCATAGGCCTCCTTCCAGCCCCCACCCTGTCCCGGGTCTCTAATGGGTGCTCAGCCTGCTCCACCACACTCCCGATTATCTTGGAGGGACAGCATCCTTTTTTGGCATTTGTTTGTTTGTTGGGGGTGGGGAGAGGATTGAACGCTTTACCTCACCTCACTCACGAGTATCGAGAAAGGGAACCTGACCCTAAACCTAAAGGTGGCCATACCTGGTTTGTGATGTATTGGAGAGGCATGTGGCATTACAGTAGCGGGGAAGAGAATGATGCTGGGTTTGTGGGTTTCACCCAGTCTGGGGAGTCTGTGAAGCATATGTACTCAATACAGACACATTTTTTGTCCCTGCATGTCTACAGAATTTCTCCTCCTTCAGGCCAGCCCCCTCTTCTCCCCCCACCACCAAAATACTAACCCTTAATTAAAACAAACAGCAAACAAAGGACACCAACCACACTCCCCAGACTAAGCCGAGATAGAAATGGAAGCTAGTGCTTTAGGGATATTGTGTTCCATAAATTATCTTGCCTTTTTCCACTGTTGTTATTATATCGTTTCATAACAAAATTACTTTGAACCATAAAGTTATAAATACATTTTAAAAGTCCCACTTGGTAACATTAGATTTCTGTCCATGTGGTGTTGGTAGTTACTGTAACAAAAGCTGTGAAGTGTAATATTTGAAATTAGCCCAGCACAAGTGGAAAGGGCCTCCCCTAATTCCCTACCCCCAGCCATGTCCTGGGCTGCTGCCTCTGCCCCTGTGGAGAACAGGGAGGGAGCAGGCCTGTCTCCTGGGCGGAGCTGCTGAGGAGGCTGGAGGTAAGGACAAGCCCCTGAGAGTTCACAGGTCATCATTCGCAAGTGTCGTGTGTGTGTGTGTGTGTGTGTGTGTGTGTGTGTGTGTGTTCTACCCAGTTATGTTTCACATCCTCAGCTCTGAACCTATCCTCGGAGCTCTGCCCTCCCCTCCTGGAATGTCTTTCTGCCCTCCAATTTTCAGCAGCTCAGGAACCTTGGCCCCAACAGGACTGGGCAGATGTCCTATTGCCCCTCAGTCCTCTGAATGCCCTTTGGACCCAACCCCAATTGCCCAAGCCCCTGACCCCCTAGCTTCTGGGGTTCCCACTCCCAGTGCCACAACCCCCTCACCTCCCTGGCAGCCCCTCAGCGAGCCTGAGGCCCAGCACCCGCTGGCTCCCCAGCACATGGTCCCCTCCCATGGGCTGTTGCCCAGGGAACCGGGGCGCGGTGGGAACGAGCTGCTGGCCTCGGCATGTTTCAATAAAGTTGCTGTGCTGGGAGCTGCTCAATCAAAGGCCTGTGTTATGGGCTCATTAGTGTGGTCCACCACAGGGCCGGCTCACAGGAGAGCTCCTGGGAAGGCTGGCGGAGGCCCCACACCCCAAGCACCCACCCTTGATCACCGAGGGGTTTCTCAGGCCCTTTCCAAGGAGCCCTGGGAAACCCTCTGACCCTGCCCCCAGCTGGATTCTCAGCGGTGGAGCCAACACCCACACCAGCCCTCCTCCCCCTGCCAGGCAGTCAGCACTTTCTGCCTCTGACTGCCAGCCAGCCGCCCCTGTTAGGGTCTTGCCACTGTGGTCACAGGCAGCTCCCTTGCTTGTGGGAACCTGGACTTATAATTACTTGTGGGCCTCTAGGTCTCCCTCTGGGGCTGGCTGTCTCCGTGGGAGTCTACAGGACCTCCTAGAGGCCTGGGGTTAGACTTGCAGTCGCCAGTGAGGGCCACTCCCCTCGGCCAGGGAGGGCCATAGGCTCCTCAGGAGGGGACCCCAGCACAGAGAGGCCCACCTTTGCTCCCTGCAAGCGTCTCTTGCTCACGTCCCCAGGGTTCCAAGGCGTCTTCTGGGCCTTGTGTGCCCAGGCCTGTTGGAGGCAGAGGAGTAGGAAGGAGCGAAATCCAATAGACCTAGGACATGAAGAGACCCAGTCTTCTGTTCTCTTAACTGCTGCCGGAACTCTCCCATTGGTCCCAGCTGCAACGGAGGGGCTAGGATGACTTTGTTACAGCAGCCTTGGAAGCCCTCACTCCCAGCCTTGGCACCTTGTTCTGGCCACCAGCCCAGGCCTGTTATCTCTTGGGAGGAAGCATGGCAGAGACACCCTGCAGGGGGAAGAGTAACAAAGAGAGGCCGAGAGGAAAAGGTAGAAGGTTTGGGAACCCGAGCCCCTTTTCGGAGCCTGTGGAATGGCCCCAGAGAGGCCTCCACACCCACCTGCTCCCTCACCTTCCCCCATCTGTCCAGACCCAGGAGAGTCAGGGCCCCAGCATGTGGCAAAGCAGGGCTGTCTGCAGACCAGGTGGAGCACAGTGGACACTCCCTGCTTTATGGAGGATCTGGGGGTGCAGGAAACCAGCACCAGTTCCACAGGCTTTCACTTTCCAGGGAACAGCACCTTGACTCCGTCTGCCCTGCCATTTGCTGTTTTCATCCTTGCTGAGACTGTAAAGCTTATCAGCCAACTCCAGGGCTGTAAGGGAGGCTTTTCAGACCCTGGGAGGGGGCCTGCCAAAGTCTGCTCCTGCACCTCCTTCCCCCCAGCATTCCTCACCCTGGTGGCTTTAACAAGCCTCTTTCCCTTGAGCCCGTCAACACTGGACTGTTAGTCTTCTGAGCGGGAGCCCGGCCCAGAGCTGAGTCGTTCATCCGTCCCCAGCCAGGGTTGATCTGAAGGGGGATAAGTCTCAGCCCCAGCGGTCACATAGAGGTCACATCACCAAATATGAGAATATTGTTGTAGGCCCCACAATGCTTTCTCAGCTGTGTGGTGTCTGACAGCTCACCCAGGTGGCGCCTCCAGTCCCAGGCATTCTCTGCCAGCCCTGATGGGAAGCCCCAGGCGTGGGAGAAGACGCCCAGCAGCTGTTCCAAGTGGGCTCTGCTGCTCCAGGCCAGGCTTGGGAAGGTGCTGCCGAGCTCTCCTCTAGACAAGCCCTGCCTTCTGCCACCCATTTGGATGTTGTGTAGAAGATGACTTGGGAATCCCCAGCCCATGCCCTGGGCACCTCCTCTTTGGTGCCTCTACTGTTCCTCCTTTCATGGGTGAACCCAGCCATACTTATTCTCCCTGGAGACCTTTGCTTGGACTGCCCCAGAGACCTTGTTGTCCAGGGGAACACCGATTAAGATTTAGAGCCCAGCAATGCTCGTGGGGAGGTACCCTTCCTTGTAGGAAAGGACTGTGATGCCCCACTGTGTCCCTGGCATCCCACAGCCAAAGCAGGAGTCTGAGCCTGCTTCTGCCACCAGAGCCAACTTTTCACTGCCCACTAAGAACGGGAAATGAGCGAGACCTGTGCCCACACTGCAGCCCGCTACCTGCTGCACCACACGCCTCTGCCTCTGACCTGGGAGGAGGGTGTTCTCCAGGCTGTTTTCTGGCTTTTGTCTGGCCTGTGGAGTAGCGGTGGGAGGGAAGGGACGCAGACAGGACTGCTTCCCCGTCCCTGCCTCCTCCACTGCCATCGTGGGTGCCAGAGCAGCTCCTTGGCAGGCTCTTCCACTGTAAACAACACATTTCCTTCCCTGAGAGGAGGAAAGGGAGGGAAAAGAAAGCCAAACTTGTCGGGAAGCAAGAACAACGTGTCAACATGAAGAACAAACAAGGCCCTGGACAAAGTGTGGATTGTCATACCAAGGGGAAGGAGTGGGCATTGTCAGCCACTCTTTGCAGACTCAGAAATATCATTGACCACAGACATCTGAATCGGCGTCAGATCTGCAGCAGCTGGGCCCCTGCCTGCAGCGCAGCCTGGCTTGCCCAGGGCAGGCACTGACACAAGATCACTTTTCAGGTTCCTTTCTGGAACTTGCTGGGACTTGGGGAATTGGGAGGTTGTTGACAATCCTCCTTCATCATCACCCAGCCAAGCTGGTTAAGGCAGCTGGTGTGAGCCCACTGGAGTAGCTGCTGGCCTAGATTCCAAGCCCCCCTGCCTGGCCAAAGGTGGGAACTAGGGGTAACCGGATCCATTGCTCCCCTCGCAGCTCAGCCAGTTTGACGGTAGTGGAGCTATAGCCACCAACTCACCCATACTGGTTAAGCCTGTGCCCAAACCCTCTTTCCCAGCAGCCCCCCACCATGATCTCCTGGGGCACCACTTAAAAATACAAGTGCCGGTCGGGCGCCATGTCTCACACCTGTAATCCCAGTACTTTGGGAGGCCAAGACGGGTGGATCACGAGGTCAGGAGAATGAGACCATCCTGGCTAACACGGTGAAACCCCGTCCCTACTAAAAATACAAAAAAAATTAGCCAAGCGTGGCGGTGGGCGCCTGTAGTCCCAGCTACTCAGGAGGCTGAGGCAGGAGAATGGTGTGAACCCGGGAGGTGGAGCTTGCAGTGATTCAAGATCACGCTACTGCACTCTAGCCTGGGTGACAGAGTGAGACTCCATCTCAAAAAAATAAAATAAAATAAAATACAAGTGCCCGCCGGGCACGGTGGCTTACGCCTGTAATCTCAACACTTTGGGAGGCCGAGGCAGGCGGATCACGAGGTCAGGAGATCGAGACCATCCTGGCTAACACAAGAAACCCTGTCTCTACTAAAAATGCAAAAAATTAGCCAGGTGTGGTGGCGGGCGCCTGTAGTCCCAGCTTGTTTGTCTGCTGTTAAAAAGCAGACAAAACTCCGGTCCCTGGCTGGGCCCAGTGGTTCATGCCTGTAATCCCAACACTTTGGGAGGCTGAGGCAGGAGAATGGCGTGAATCCAGGAGGCGGAGCTTGCAGTGAGCTGAGATCACGCTACTGCACTGCAGCCTGGGTGACAGAGCGAGACTCCGTCTCAGGAAAAAAAAAAAAAAAAAAAACAAATTTAGCTGGGCGTGGTGGCACATGCCTGTAATCCCAGCTACTCAAGAGACTGAGGCAAGAGAATTGCTTGAACCCAGGAGGCAGAGGTTGCGGTGAGCTAAGATCACGCCATTGCACTCCAACCTGGGAAATGAGCAAAACTCCGTCTCAAAAAAATAAATAAATAAATATGCAAGGGCCTTGACCTTGACCCAGAGTATTCTGATTCAGGAGGTGTGAATGGGGCCTAGCATCCCCTTATTGTCAGAAGCTTCCCAGGGGAGTGTGCTGCTCAGATTGATCGGGGGCCCTCCTCTCTTACTAGAGGGTCTCCTCCCTCTGAGGGCTGTTTGTGTACAAACATAAGTGTTTTCTGCCTGGCTCTTGGTAAACGCAAATATCAGTGAGTGCTGTTACCAATATTATTTCTACTGCTACTTTCTGGGCTAGTGAACTGGCAAGATGTATGTATTCACTAGGCTGGCCTGGGAATTTGCCCCACTGCCCTCACTTGGGAACCATCTCTGGGCATGGTTTACCCTCCTTTTTAGTTGGCCAGTCTGATTTTTTAGCAGTATCTGTGACTCTCACGTTTCTAGCCCTCTTAAGTTGAGCAGGTGGCCAGGAAATGTGTGGTTGGTGGAGGTTGGGACTGCTGATTTTCCAGGTCATTGGTAAAAACCAAAGCTTCCTTCATTTCCATCATCAGAAGACAGAGAAGTCATCCCCATCTATATAGGCTTCTATAGTTGGGGTGTCTTCCCAGACAGGAAAAGAGCATCCTCTACCACCATGAGGTCAGATAGCTGTTCCTCTAAAGTCCAGAGCCTTGAGCCAGGTGCGGTGGCTCATGCCTGTAATCCCAGCACTTTGGGAGGCCAAGGTGGATGGATCATTTGTGGTCAGGAGTTCAAGACCGGCCTGGCCAACATGGCGAAACTCCATCTCTACTGAAAATATAAAATTTAGCCGGACGTGGTGATGGTCACCTGTAATCCCAGCTACTCGGGAGGCTGAAGCAGGAGAATCACTTGAACCCGGGAGGCGGAGGTTGCAGTGAGCCAAGATGGTGCCACTGCCCTCCAGCCTGGGTGACAGAGCAAGAGATTTCGTCTAAAAAGTAAAAGTCCAGAGACTTGACTCCTCTGGGTACCTACCCTTGGGCAAAGTGGGGATGATAGTCACCTCCCTAGCAGAACTGCCACAAGGATTCAATGAAATGACACTGATCAAGCTCTTAGCACAGCGCCTGGCACCTGGTGGAGGTACTGCTTCTGCTATTGGCCATTTTTACTGTCATTTTTATCATCACCATTCCCATTATTATTTGTGACAGAGCCAAGCATCTCTGTAGGGACCCAGTGAGCCTCAGGAGTGCCAAGCCCCAGAACTGCACAGGCTTTTCCCACAGTTGCATCACAAGGGCGAGTCTGTTACTCGGGAGAGCTCCCAGGAGCTGCTCCGTCTTAGCTGTCTATCTCCAGTGTCCTGTTGATACGATCTGTTAACATTCTCAGCTCCAGGTCTGAAATATACAAAGAACAGGGCCTGTTTGTTCAATCCAACCTTGTAAGGTTTAACTCCCAAAGGAAATTAAATTAGGTGCCTGGAGCTATGACAGTCTGTCGTGTTTCTTTGCAGAGAATGTCACCCTTAATATCATGCAGATCTCATGTATAATTTTTCCCCTTTAATTATTTTAAAATAACGTGAAGTTTCCAGCAGGAACCAGCAAATCACCAAAAGCAAAAATGGAGGAGCAACTAGGGTTTGTCCTCATTTTTGATCTGGCCATCCCCTCCCTGAACCGAGTCCAAAATAAGTCCATACACAGATGGTGCCGCGCATGGTGGTTGTTCTACTAAAAGCCACCATAACTCACCCTCTCCCTAGCACCAGTTCCAGACCTTTGTCAGAAGAACCAGCTTAGAAGTGAACTGAATGTTGGTGGCATTACGTTTCCTTGAAGAATAACTCTGGCATCTCACTGGGTGACCACAGCCCCTGTGAACCGTTGCCCCTCCTCCTGTCCTCCCTCCACCCCATCTCACCCCCAGCACTTGTTATAGTCCCATATCTATTTGCTGATCTGACAGAAGGTCCCTCCCTCCAAGTTATTTGTGAGTTAGAAATTAGTCCAGCCCAGACTGCAGCCATTGTAATATAATTGGGTTTTAGGTATGCTTGTGTTTGTGCTAGCATTTGCAGAGATGGCAACGAGCCCCGGAAATGCCAAAAATATGAATGTAACTTTTGTACTACTTGAGCAGACTGGTGATAACTGGTGGGGAAACTGAACTTTTGGGGAGGACACCCCTGGGATAAGAGAGTAGGAGGAGCAGGGGCTTAGGCTGTGAGAGGGAGTATGTGTATGACTGGAGTCTGGGCAGAGTCGGCCAGTCCCACTTTGGGGAATTAGGAAGAACTATAGGGGTGCACCTCCCCGAACTTTGCCAACTTTGCCTCTCCTGCTGTGTCTTGTCTCTGTCCTCGGTCGGGGCCCTAGCTCCTAGAACAGAGTTTGGTGAGGAGATGTGGACCGGTGGTCAGAGCTATTTTGTTCCTGCTATGGGCTTGGAGCCTGGGAAGGCTGGGTGTGTCTTCCTGCCAACCAAGAGAGAGTTCTTGTCCCCGTGGGAAATGGACTGCCTTCATGCCTGTGTCCCTGGAAGGATGAATAGATGAGTCAGTGTCCTGGGGGTGAGAGTTCAGCATTCGGGAGCAGTACTCCAGGCACTAACTTGAGAGTCCAGACATGACCAGTATATGGTCTTAACCACTGACAAGCCGTGTGACACTGAGCAAATTACATAACCTGCCTTTGCCTCAGTTTCCTCACTTCCTCAGGAGACAGGGAGTGAGCAGTTAGCATGCCCGGTATGATGGCGGCTTTTCTGCTTACTTGGGGGTAGTGTTCTTATTTCTCACTGCCTCCTCCACCCCCATCCACTTCTTGCTTTGGAGACCTCTATCCTGCGAGCTCCTGAGCCGTCCTGTGTGCTCACCTTCCTTGTTACCTCACAGTGTGGAAACTTTTGTTCTTGGCAACTGACAATTCCCAGGGGAAACCTGGTGGGTATTTTTTCAAGTTCTCAATTCTCCTCCTCACAGGGAGGGTTTCCCCTCAGAGGAGCCCCTCACCTGGATCTTCACCCCATTATCTTTCTTCCTTTGTGCCCTACCTGGGTGCCCAAGGTGTACAGGAGGAGACAGAGTTGTGGTCTGGGGGTACAGAAGGCTCTGCAGTGGAGGGAGGCTGGGAGGCCCTGGGGACCAGGACAGGGAGGGGGAGGGGTGAAGGAAGGGGTCAGAGTTGGAAGAGGAGAGGCATCCTCACCCAGGGCGTGGTAGGGTGCAGACCTGGGATCAACTTGGCCTGGCTCTGCATAGCAGCCTGACCAGAGTGGGGGGTGGGGGAAAATGGCCCAGCAGATTGAGGAAGGCCTGGTTTTAAAGGCCCTGAGAGCCCTTGGCCGTTGGTATTGGCTGTGAAAACTTCTTCAGCGATGAAGGTGGTGGTTGTGCCAGCCAAATAGTGGGGCCAGACTCAGCATCAAAGCGAGAGGCAATGAGGTGTCAGACTAGAACAGCAACGTGGAACACTGGGAGGTGACCTAGAGAAGAGGAATCTCAAAGAAGGCTGGAGGAACTTAGTGGCTGATCGAGCCCACCAGGGCAGGGGCTTGGGAGCTTCCAGTCTGGGAGGATCTAGCTACTGTGAATGGGAATGGAAGTTGGGAGTCCCTTTGTCATCTGTAAAATGAGAGATGTTGGTCCACAATCTCCAGATTCTCCAACTCAGACAATCTTGGATGTACCTTCCAGGGCACTTCCAGATTCCACACAGGGCTTGTATTCCAAATCCAAACAGATTCCTTTTGTCCTGCCATGGTGAGGGGGCAGAGGGGGATATGAGAGCCTGGCTGGGCAGCAGCTTTAATTTAATTTTTTTTCCTTTTGATTTTTCTTTTTTGTTCCTTTTTTTTCCCTGAGATTCCTTTTTACCAGCCTCACCAGTCTTCATTTCCCTTCTGGGAGCAGCATTCCCAGCCCTCCCAATGTCCTCCCTCCTCTCCCCATTGTCCCCCCCTTTCCTTCTATGCCCCAATCTGATATTGCAGGGAGGTGAGGGTGTGGGGGGAAATGACAGTTGGGGACAGGCCTCAAACACTTCCCTCTGTCCCTTGAACAGATCACAGTGAGCACGTCTCTCCTCCATGGTCAGAAGAGAGGTATAAAGCTTGGTGGTTGGCAAAAAGATCATACATTTAAAAAAATAATAATAAAAGCCTGCCTTGTGCCTTCACAGATTCTGTTGACCGAAGAGTTTGTAGAGAAAATGTTGGAGGATTTAGAAGATTTGACTTCTCCAGAGGAAGTAAGCTTGTTTGACCTTCCCTGACAACGGGTCCCATCTCTGGGACCGTGTGTGTGTGCTTGCGTGTGCGCGTCTGTGCATGCATGTGTGCGTGTGTACGTGTGTGCGTGTGTGCTTGCATGTATCTGTGTGGCTGTATCTGTGGGCTCCTCCCCAAGGTGCAGGGATAGGCTGGAGAGGAGAATGTAGATTTCTTTTCTGTGTCTATGCACTCTCACCATCCCCTGCCCTACCCCCAGCCCTTGTAAGGACACCCAGCAAATCGTCTGAATTGCCAGCTCCTGAGAGCCTCATTGAAGAGGAAGCCAGGGCCTTCAGGCTAGTACGAGTTCTCCCCAGCCCCTGCTGTTCCCTGGCAGGTTCTGAACAGAACACCCATGTCTGTTGCCAGAGAACATTCCACTGGGGAGTTCTGGTGGGCAGCAAGAGACTCCTGCCCTCGCCTTGGGCCACCCAGGAGCCACTCTCTCTTCTTCCTTCTCCAGCCATGAGCTGTCCCCTCTTAGTCTCCCTCTTCCAGCCCTGGCACAGAGCCGGAGGAGCTGGCAGGCCAGCTGTGGCTATGCCTTCTCTAGCTACTCCTCTGGGGTAGAGGAATGGAGTCCATAATCCCCTTTGTTTTTTCTCCCTTGTTCCCGGCATCCTCATTTGTGGGGACTTACCTCATCCTGGAAAGTCCCTTCCCCTCCCCCTGCTCCTGCCCCCAGCACCCCAGCGGGATGGGAGCCTTCCTGGCCTCAGTGCCCCATGGGTTAGTGAACATTAGCAGGCTGGCTGGGCCTCCGGAGAGCTCTCCTGGGCCCTGCCCTGCCTGTGGCAGAGACAGACCCTTCCCTTGCCCGGTCTGCCGGGAAATGTGCTTGGGGGAGAACTCCTTTGCCTCCCAGGGGCCAGGCTTTCTACCCAGAGGGAGGCCAGGCAGGAGCTAGGTTCCAGCCAGGGTTGGAGCTTCCAGATTCCAGGGCCCCCCGGGCTGTACCAGCTAGGACACAGTCCTCTGGTGTTCAGGAAGCTGAGGGGAGTGCACAGGGCAGGACTGTCCAGTCCAGGTCTCCAGGTGGACAGGAACTCCCCAGAGCCAGGGTCACCCCAGTAGAGCAGTGTCTCCTCTGTCCTCTGGGATGCAGCTTGAGAAATTTGTTCATTTATATATTCTAAAGCCATCAAGCACCCAGTCCATGCCAGCCAATCAACCCCCACAAGTCTCTGGTCCCTGAGTCCCAGCTCCCCATTCAGTCAGACCAGAGCCAGCTGCCCAGAAGCGCTTCCGGAGAGGCCTTGTCGCACTGGGATGGCACTGTGCCAGGCTGCTGCTTTGAGCTTGGGGGCAGGAGGGGGACAGTCCAGGCAAGAGGAACAGAAGCCAGGGGGAGCAGAGGAAAGTAGGTCACTAAAAATGACTTTCTTCTTTTTTTCCTTTTCGGTCCAGAGGCTGTCCCCACACCCTGCCTCACTTGCCACTTTGGTCCTGGCAGAGACAGTCCCCCAGCAGAGGGAGCAAAGAGGGAGGCAGCCAGGAAGGGTTGGGCTTGTCTGCCTTCAGCCCCAACCCCAGGCAAGCTGAGAACACTGTTCTCTCCTTTCCACCCTGCCCTGACTTCTGGCCTAGCCAAGTTAGAAAGACAGACCCTGGGCCGGGCGCAGTGGCTCATGTCTGTAATCCCAGCACTTTGGGAGGCCGAGGCAGGTGGATCACCTGAGGTCGGGAGTTCGAGACCAGCCTTACCAACATGGAGAAACCCCGTCTCTACTAATAATACAATAGTTAGCCGGGCGTGGTGGCACATGCCTGTGATCCCAGCTACTTGGGAGGCTGAGGCACGAGAATCGCTTGAACCAGGGAAGCAAAAGTTGCGGTGGGCTGAGATCGTGCCATTGCACTCCAGCCTGGGCAACAAGAGCGAAACTCCATCTTAAAAGAAAAAAGACCTAGTGTCTAAGTTCCAGCATCAGTCCCAGGCAGTGAGCATTTATTGAGCACCAGCTGTGTACCAGAATGTATGCAAAATCCTACAGTAAAGAGGGAATAAGAGGCATGAGCCTCTTTCCCTTCCCCTACCAGAAGCTCCCAGGTGAACGAGAGAAACACAGCTGTAGGCAAATCAGTGATTCCTGGGGTAGGGTGGGAAACATTTGGCTCTCCTTGGCCACCACTGGGAGCACTCTGAGGCTGGTAACCCTGGGAAGCGGTGCGAATGAACACGGGGAACAGGGTGGGGATTGGCCCCTCTTGAGGTTGCACCAGACCCAAGGAATCGCCTCAAGCCACACTTGTCCCACTCTTCTGCTCCCACCAAGGCTGCACGTGTGTTTCTGACTTTGGGGCTGAACTGGGGTCTCCTTCCCTTGGGAGCCTTTGGCCAAGGCTACAGAGGACAGGTTCCAGGGTTCTTCCTGCACTAGCCTCGGAAAAAGAGGCCATGGCAGTGACAGAGTTCAGGCCACTTCCCCACAGCCTCCAGACCCTCCCCCAGCCCCCCATCCTCCAGCCCCAGGGCCTCAGGGAGCAGATTCCTTACATGCCTGTGGCCAGAGGCAGAACCAAGGAAGTGAGCAAGAGGGAGGTCAGCTTAGTGGAGAAAGGAGGAGAAAACGCCCTCCTCCAACCTGGCTCATTATTAGCAGGCCGTGGGGAAAGAAGGGGTCACCACTCCAGCCGTTTGAGCCCAGCCTCCCACCTGGGACAGGCCTGGGCAGTCTCTAGAAAGAGCACAGTGGATTCTGCTAACCACTCACACTCCTGGTCTGTGCTTGCTCCCTCCACAGTTCAAACTTCCCAAAGAGTACAGTTGGCCTGAAAAGAAGCTGAAGGTCTCCATCCTGCCTGACGTGGTGTTCGACAGTCCGCTACACTAGCCTGGGCTGGGCCCTGCAGGGGCCAGCGGGGAGCCCAGCTGCTCCCCAGTGACTTCCAGTGTAACAGTTGCGTCAATGAGATCCCCACAAATAAAAGGACAAGTGTGAGGAAGACTGCGCAGCACCACCCTGCAGCCCAGTGGGGTGCCGTGCACAGGCCACAGGCCCCCCACCTCACCTCCAGCTCAGGGGCCGCACCCCCCAGCTGCCTAAGCCCTGTGACTCATCAGGCCAGTGAGTGGGCAAATGCGGACCCTCCCTGCCTGCAGCCCGCACAGATTCTGGTTTGAGGTTTGACTCTGGACCCTGGCTGTGCCCCTAGGTGGAGACAGGCCTCATTCTCACCTACCCTCTGCCGCACAGCCCAGCAGGAGGGAGGCGGACAGCCAGGTGCAGAGCGCGTGGAGGCAATTCCTAGCTCAGCTCTGGAAGCCTTTGCTACTCAAGCTCCTCTGGCCACGGAACAATTCCTCTGATCATGTTTGGTTTTCTTCTTCTTCATCCCTATTTTATTTTGTAGAAACCGGATGGTATTTTATTGCTCTGCAAAGATGTCCAGAAGCCATGTATATAATGTTTTTTAAACAGAACTTTATTCCCCATCGAACTTTCGTATTCTCTGACAGAGGCCTAGGGCTGTCTCTGTCCTTGGGCTGCCACCAGAGAAGGTGCTTGGTGTTCGCCTGACAGCCCAGAGCCCTGGAGGAGCCGGCTGCACAGAGAGACTTTTCTTCCCAGCTGGGCCTGGTGGAGCCCAGGGCAGGGGGAGAGGAGAGACACTCCCTTGTGTAGCTTTGAGTCTGGTTTAGCTGGGGCCAGGGAGGGGTGCTACTGTTTTCCAAGTGAATGGGTCTCAAAGACTCGGTGACCCCAGCCTCATCTTCTAGGCCTTTTCCACCCAACCAGGCCTACCTGTGAGAGGGTGAGGTTCAGCACGTCACACACCATCCCCACTGTCACTCAGGGCCTGGGTCTCCAGCTCTGTAATCAGTCCTGTCCCATTTCCTCAGTCCCTGGGCCTCCCAGCCTTCAGGCTTCAGGGCTGGCTTACTAAAACTGAAAAATCCACCTCTCAACATCTCTTTCACTCTGGTTCTGCTAACACTGCTCTCTGCCGCCCTCCCATCCTCCCTGTATCCATTCATGCCCTATCTTTAATTCTCCACTCCTCATCCCGTCTCCTTTCTGGCATCCTGGCCTCTCATGGTCTTCAGCCCCTCACCCCCAGTACTGCAGATCTCAGTCTGCCTTCCAGAAGCCAGCCTATCTCTAGCCCATGGTTTTGGAGTTCCTCTCAGGTTATCTCCCACTCCTGACCTGGAACCAGCAAGCCCCTTTCCTGCCTTCTTACCCCCAATTCTAGGGACAGGACTGCTGTCATACTTCAAGATCACTCTTTACACCTCTTCAAAGCAAAGTCATGACCATGCAGGACTCCTCATTGCTCCCATCTGCCTCACTGCACATGCAGGCACCACCAGGGATGCCACAGGAATGCCCACAGGGTGCAGGACTCCACTGATGAGAGATCCAGTTAAAGAGCTGCCCCCAGGGGTATGAGGGCACGAGCTGGGTTCTCCAGGGAGCAAGAGTTGAACCTCCATGGAGCCACTAGGCCTGGCCTCTTCTACACATCCCCAGGGCCATCTGGTTAACTCCATCAAGCTCAGAGTTGCAAGGCACATCAGCCTGGAGTATTTGGGAGAGACTGGCTCCAGGTCCCCACCAGCCAAGATGCAAGCCACTCGGGACCTGATGTCAGCAGCTGTGCCTCTACTGCCCTGAGGACTTCCCAGAGGGAGCCCTACTGGCCATCCCCCACCACAGCAGCCCTGCCTGTGAAGCTCTTGTCTTCTGACATTTCATAGGCAGAGAGGTGCCATCAGTTCGCCTCCATTCCTTGCCACGGTGACCAGCCTCTCCCTGAACTCTCTTTTGCTGGGGACCTGCCTGAGGGCTCCCTGCTGCAGTTTGCCCTGCTTCCATCTGCTGGGTGCCTCCATCGTTGGTTGGGTGGGGATGGGTCATTTTCTGAGCTAAGCTTTGTCATTAGTTTGTGAAGCACCTGGTCAGCAACTTGCCCCAGGCGTGGAGGGTCTTTGCGGACTGAAGGTAGACACCAGCCAGCATGGTGGCCCTGTTCTAGGGGAGCAGGGTAAGGCAGGAAGAAGTGGGTGAGCTCCGAGATGATGAGCACATGAAGCCTGTGGCCCCTTCGTACCCCCAATATGTCAGGAGCCCCACGCTCATCCAAGATCCTGCAGGGGCCAGGATCCATCTCACTGGCTCTGAGGCAGGACAGGGCATCACGCATCTCTGACCAGGCCTCCTTTCCCATGGGCATTGGTGCCTCCCAGAGGTTTCTCAGGCTGCTGGCTGGTGAGAGATGACCTTAAAGAAGATCAAGCCAAGCTGACCGTGGACCCTGCCCAGCACAGCTGCTGGCACAGGATGCTTGGTGAATGTCCCCTTTCCCTCCCTGCAGCTCTGTGGGAACCCCTGACCTTGTAGTGGGTGGAGCAGGTAAGGGGCCTCCCTCCCTAAATCTGCCTCTTCTGCAAGCTACTTGGAGACTTGCCTAGTCCTACCCACCCCTCCAGGTCCTGAGAAGGGCCTTTCCTTTTGCTGTTTGCCTGCTATATAAGGCAGGATCCTGTGGCTCCGCTGGCTTAGTGTAGGCTGCAGGAGGACCGCAGACTCGGCTGCAATTCTGAGGGGGGTTTGGGAGGCTTGTGCGAGGTCTCAGGCCTGTCTGGGGAGCTGGTGCCTCTTCCTGCCTGTATCTTTCTCTTCCAAGGGCAGTGCTCCAAGGCAGGGACTGGAGACGCCGAGGGGAGAGTCTAAAAGGGCTAGAGCATTTTTAAAAATAGACACAGGGTCTTGGGACTGGGGTTTCAGATTCAGTTGCAAGCAGGCAGAAAACCTGAAGGTCGGTGCCCCTATGGGGCTGACCAGTAGAGAATTTCCTTTACTGTATTTTTGTATCTGGTCTTCCCTCTCTGGCTTCTAGGACATCCGTGCCAGGTGAGGTGCCTGGGGTCCTGTTACAAGTCAGGAGCCCTGTAGAGAGACCCCTCCTTTTGTACAAGTACCTGAATGCTGCAACCAGCAGATTTTTGTAAAATTTTATATTAGTTTTTAATGTCAGTGGCGACTCGGTTCCTGGGGCTGCAGCCAGCCTGGGACTTTTGTAAGAATTTTTGGGTGACTCACTTAGATATCGTTTCCTTCTTGCCCCCTCTTCCTCTCTGTAATCTAAGTGCATTAAACATCTTTGCAGAAGTGCCTGGGTTGTGTGCTCATTTCTGGCTGCCGGGAGTAGTGGAGCAGGAAACCCGGGGCCCTGGCAGAGGGAGTGGGTTGTACTTAGCCACTTAGAAGCCAGGATGGAGGGAGGCCCCCAGGATTGTTGTCGAGAGTGGAGGAGGTGCCAGGGAGTTGGGATCACACAGCTGGTAGCTCTTCAGTCATGAAGAAATGACTTTGCAGGGACAGGCTCTCCCTCACTGGTCCTGAATTCCTCTAAGGTCAAGGGGGTAGGAGCGAGGAGCAGTCTGGGGAGATGAGGCGGTGGGAAAAGGCCCTCTCCCTGCCACTTCATCCCTCTTCTACCCTCCTCTCACCAAAAACCCCTTCTGCCTTAGGAAGAGGGGCCCAGACAGGTGAGGAGGGCAGGCCCTCCTCATCTCCTTCGGAGTCCTTGCCCCGGCTTCCAGCTCCTCTCACATGACATCTAAATTCTACCTCCTAATCCAGTGCCCAGGGGCAGGATCCAGATAGAAGGTCAATTCAGAACCGGCGACACCCACTGGGTGACACAGAGGCCAGCCCACCCGCCGTAGCAACTCCACTGGGCCTGGCAGCGGAGGGAGGTATCGAGTATATCTTCCTTTCCTGGACTGCCCAGCTCCTGCCTCTCCAGGGCTGGGGGGCAGCAAAACAGCCCAACGCCCAGTGTGGGGAGGCATTGCACTGGGGGAGAGGGCACTAGCCTGGCATTCAGGATGAGGGCTGCACCCAGAGTTCTTGGAACCTGTGACCACCCGGGCCCTCACATATTCATTCCTTTCTGGTTTTCTATCCTGGACAGTGGCAGGGGATTTGGGTGGGGCTGGGGCGGAGGTCCTAGGACATCATAAGCAAGGGAGAGGGGATGTTAGCTCCTATGAGGGGGCTCTTATATCCTGTCCCTTCTGTGAGACCTAGCCATGTGGGGGGCCTTTGCTGAGAGGTCCACATTCCTTCCCCTGCAGCCTCTTACTGAACTCTCGAATGGAGCAATGCAGCAGGTCCTGTCTGGGGCCCTCATGCCCTTTCCCTTTTCTGCCTGGAGACTGGGGGCTGGGGGAGGTATCCTCATCTGACTTTAGCCTACAAGGACACAGTATCAGGGTGAAGTTCTTGCCCCAGAGAATGCAGAATAGCAAGATCCTCTGCTTAGGTGGTTCTGCAGGACACCAGGCTGAGGCTGTTTCTGGAAAGAGAAGGACTCCTGGGCCTAGGGCAGAGACCCCAGCCCTAGAATTAAGGAGGAGAGAGATCTACCATGCCATCTGTAATATCTCCTCCAGAAAATCCTGTGCATTCCTCCCAGGCATCTGCTTTGCCTCATCTGGGGTGCTGGGGGCCCTGGGGAGGGAGTCCCACAGGCATCAGGGGGGCCGGGAAGCCTGAGAGATTTGCCAAACTGGCCTAACCAGAAGAAGAATGCAAGCTACAAGTGACTCAACCCAGTCAGGCAGGCACTGAGGTGGCGGCAGGCTGCAAGGGGGTAGGTGGTGGCGAGGCCAGGGTGGGGTGATTTGCTGCGCAGGAGAAGGGGGAAACCTGCAGGGGCAGGTCTGGATGTGATCTGAGAGGGGCAGCCATCTCCAGGCCCCTTCCAGGAGACATGGTGGGACTGACCCATCCCTCCTTTCCTCCTTATTGCCAAGAAGTCTGGGAGGTGAGGGCAGCATGGGGGAAGAAGCAACTGACTGCTGGTGGGTGTCCATGGCTTGAATGAGCATAGCTCTCCAAGTAACTTGTAGGACGAGGGAGACTTTGAGGGGGTTATCATGAGAGTAGTGGTCTTACTGGGGCCAGAGAACTGGTCTTACTGGGGCAGAGACCCTCTTCCTTGATTTTCCAATTTCACCCATCCCACCCCATACATTTCAGTACCATGAGAGCAGTGCAAGGACAGAGAATGGAGCTTTTGGGTCTCAACCTTTACAGGACAGATGAAGGCCAACCATGCATTGTCGAGCCTCTACAGTAACACTGTGAGAACGAACTAGAAAACATTCTGTTGTTCTTTTTTTTTTTTTTTTTTTTTTGAGACGCAGTCTCGCTCTGTCGCCCAGACTGGAGTGCAGTGACTACATCTCAGCTCACTGCAAGCTTCGCCTCCCGGGTTTACGCCATTCTCCTGCCTCAGCCTCCCGAGTAGCTGGGACTACAGGCGCCCGCCACCTCGCCCAGCTAGTTTTTTGTATTTTTTTTTTTTTAGTAGAGACGGGGTTTCACCGTGTTAGCCAGGATGGTCTCGATCTGCTGACCTCGTGATCTGCCCGTCTCGGCCTCCCAAAGTGCTGGGATTACAGGCGTGAGCCACCACACCCGGCCCATTCTGTTGTTCTTTGAACAAGTGTGTGCCAGGCACTCTGTTATATACTGAGATGCCAGACTCAGGCCCTGCCTTAAGAGGCTCGGAGTGCAGTGAGGGGAAACAGACAAGGAAACACATACTTATGAGGAAGAACCATCAAAGAGGAAGGCAGTAACCTGCTTCCTGTCCCACTCCAGCTTCACCACTTATCAGGGTGACTTCAGCCAGGTGCCTAACCCAATCTGGGGAGATTCAAAAAAAGACTCCCTGAAGAAGTGACATCTAAGTTAAAACCTAAAGGATGCTTAAGGATGAGTTGAGCAAAACAAGAGGAAACTTTACTTTCATAAGCTCTCCAGGCAGTCAAAACAACAAGGGTAGAAGCCTTAAAACTCTTCTTGGGCACTAGAGTGCAATTTGGAGTATATGGTTTAAGGCATCAAGCTTTCATTTTAGGACCATCTCCTTGTCTGCTGGATGGAGAATGTTTTGAAAGGGGGTAAGAATGAAGGAAAAGTGACCAATGATGCTTGCATTAGGGTAGAAGCATCTACCTAGATGGAGAGAATGGGATTCATTTATTGATTTGACAAATATTTATTAGGCATCTACAATATGCTAGGTCCGTTCTACGCACAATGCTAAAGGAGGTATTAGCATTAAAGAAAATACCTCCTTAGACAGATCTTACTTTTTTCTTTTTTTTTTTGAGACAGAGTCTCACTCTGTCGCCCAGGCTGGAGTGTGGTGGTGCGATCTCAGCTCACTGCAACCTCCCAGGCTGGAGTACAGTGGTGTGATCTCGGCTCACTCTAACCTCCGCCTCTCAGGTTCAAGAGATTATCCTGCCTCAGCTTCCCAAGTAGCTGGGACTACAGGCATGTGCCACCATGCCTAGCTACTGTTTTATTTTTAGTAGAGACCGGGTTTCACCATCTTGGACAGGCTGGTCTCGAACTGCTGACCTCAGGTGATTCACCTGCCTTGGCCTCCCAAAGTGCTGGGATGACAGGCATAAGCCACGCGCCCAGCCTCACAGATCTTACATTTTAATGATGGGCGACAGATAATAATTTCTTTCTCTTTTCTTTCTTTCTTTTTTTTTTTTTTGTGCTGGAGATTTGCTCTTGTTGCCTAGGCTGGAGTGCAGTGGCGAGATCTCGGCTTACTGCAAGCTCTGCCTCCCAGGTTCAAGCAATTCTCCCACCTCAGCCTCCCAAGTAGCTGGGATTACAGGCGCCTGCCACCACGCCTGGCTAATTTTTGTACTTTTAGTAGAGACGGGGTTTCACCATGTTGGCCAAGCTGGTCTTGAACTCCTGACCTCAGGTGATCCACCCGCCTTGGACTCCCAAAGTGCTGGGATTACAGGCGTGAGCCACTGTGCCCGGCCAGATAATAATTTTCTTTTCTTTTCTTTTTTCTTTTCTTTTCTTTCCTTCTTTCCTCCTTCCTTCTTTCTTTCTTTTCTTTTTTGAGGCGGAGTCTCGCTCTGTCGCCCAGGCTGGAGTGCAGTGGTGCTACCTGGGCTCACTGCAAGCTCCGCCTCCCGGGTTCATGCCATTCTCCTGCCTCAGCCTCCCAAGTAGCTGGAACTACAAGCGCCCACCACCACGCCCGGCTGTTTTTTGTATTTTTTTAGTGGAGACGGGGGTTTCACTGTGTTAGCCAGGATGGTCTTGATCTCCTGACCTCGTGATCTGCCTGCCTGGGCCTCCCAATGTGCTGGGATTACAGGCGTGAGCCACCGCGCCCAGCCCAGATAATAATTTTCAAAAGGAGGAAATATCGTACATAGAGACCCATGCTATGGAGAAACAGAGGAGGAGGGAAAGTGGGGCTGGAGGGAGGGATGCATTTTAAATAGAGAGGTCAGGGAAGGCCTCACAGCATAGGTGACATTTGAACAAAGGATAAGGATCTCAATTACTGGAAGAAGTGTGCCACAGGGCTATCTGGGGGAAGATGGGCCAGGGACACTGAAGAGCATCTGCAAAGGGTGAGGGAGTTAAGGAGAAACATACCGGGTGTCTTTGAGGGCACCAGGGAAGCCAGTGTGGGTGCAACAGAGTGGGAGAAGAGAAGGCTAGAAAATTATACAGAGGCCAGACCGTGTAGGACCTCGGAGGGAATTCTAAAACTTTCACTTTTATTCTGGTTGGATTGAGAAGGCATTGGAAGATTTTGAGCAGAGGAGTGACATTTTCTGATATATAGATATATTTGTGTATATATATATGTGTGTGTGTATATACATACACACACACACACACACACATATATATATACATATTTTTTTTTTTTGAGACGGAGTTTCCCCTCTTGTTGCCCAGGCTGGAGTGCAATGGCACGATCTTGCCTCACCGCAATCTCTGCCTGCCGGATTCAAGCAATTCTCCTGCCTCAGCCTCCTGAATAGCTGGGACTACAGGCATGCACCACCGTGCCCAGCTAATTGTTTGTATTTTTAGTAGAGACAGCATTTCACCATGCTGGCCAGGCTGGTCTTGAACTCCTGACCTCAGGTGATCCACCCGCCTCGGCCTCCCAAAGTGCTGGGATTATAGGCATGAGCCACCATGCCCGGCCATTGTGACTTATATTTTTAAAAAACTGGCTGGGGCCTGGTGTGGTGGCTCACACCTATAATCCCCGCACTCTCAGAGTCCAAGGTAGGCAGATCACTTGAGGC